GAGGACGCCGACTTCGGGGTGTTAGTGTCTCGGGAGTTTGCGGATGCACGGGAAAACAGACCTGATGCCCGCTCGGCTATGAACAAGCACAATAACGAGGCAGGCCGCACGGTGAGTCAGCTACCCACAACTCTGGGGCGGGGTGGGGGCGGGCACCAGGTATCTCTGGCCCTCCTGGGCCAGGATTCCATCCACACCCCCACAGTAGCCTTTTTGACCACCCTCCTTTCTCTCTCCCAGCTGCTCCTGAGTGGGTTGTCATTTTTCTGTTTAAGTCCATTTGCTTATTTGTTAGGTGTATACATGTCTGTGTGTATACATATGTGTGCATACATGTGTGTGTGTGAAGTCAGAGGACAACTTGTAGGAGTCAGTTCTCCCCACTATGTAGGTTCTGGTATCAAATCAAATTAACCCGTTCCTGGTTCTTTGGGGGAAGTAAGTCTGCCAAGGGAGTGTGGCTGCCTAATGGGAGAAAGCGACTGCAGACTATACTACGGGGCTTGGCAGGCTTAGTCTGTATAGGTCTGTGATGTGGTTGCGGGGTGGGGACTGACTTTGACTCCAGCCTTCCCTGCTTCCTATGGTTGAGGAACCTTGAGCCAATCATTTAGCTCTCAGCCTGCCTCAGCCTTGCAGGAGGCACAGCAGTCCCTGGTTTGCACCCCTTGTGTGGATGAGATGTAAATGTGAACCCCGACTGCCAGGGCTTGAGGTGTGACTCGGGACACTGGTTTCCACCCATTCTTCCTGACATCCAGGAAGGGGTAAAGGAGGGGGTGGTACAGAGTGGAAGGGGCCCCAGGTGGGTCAGTCTGGGCTGCTCCTTTCCCCTCAGACCATCCTGGACCACATGCACCTGAAGTGCAAATGCCACGGGTTGTCAGGCAGCTGTGAGGTGAAGACCTGCTGGTGGGCCCAGCCAGACTTCCGTGCCATCGGCGACTTCCTCAAGGACAAGTATGACAGCGCCTCAGAGATGGTGGTGGAGAAGCATCGGGAGTCCCGAGGCTGGGTGGAGACCCTGCGAGCCAAGTACGCACTCTTCAAGCCACCCACTGAGAGGGACCTAGTCTACTATGAGAACTCCCCCAACTTTTGTGAGCCCAACCCAGAGACGGGCTCCTTTGGCACCCGGGACAGGACTTGCAATGTCACCTCCCATGGCATCGATGGCTGCGATCTGCTGTGCTGTGGCCGTGGCCACAACACGAGGACGGAGAAGCGGAAAGAGAAATGCCACTGCGTCTTCCACTGGTGCTGCTATGTCAGCTGCCAAGAGTGCATCCGAATCTATGATGTGCACACCTGCAAGTAGGAGCCAGGTAGGGTGCAGGGCTGGGTGCAGGGCTGCCCTCCCCTCCCCTCTGCTAGTTCCTGTTCCTAAGTTTCCCAAGCCAAACAAGTTCCCCCAGCCAAAGTAGGACTCCAAGGCTTCCCACACTTCCATGGGAATAGTCTTGGGCTGTAACATAGCAGATTTATACCAGGCTTAGATAATAACTGACAGTGTGCTCATAAGCCACAGGCAATTGGTTAAAAATCTTACACAAATTAGCTATGATGAGCTAGACCAGATTTTGTTCATGGCTGCTGGCTGTCATTACTGAGCATCTGTGCAGCCAGAAGAGAGATACTAAGGTCTGGTCCCAGCTGTGCCCCTAATTTTCATTTCTCAGGGCTTCAGTGTCTTTACTGTCCAAAGAGGAGGGGTTCAAATGCCAGGAACAGGAGCTGGGTATGGTGGTCTTGGCCTTTAATCCCAGCACTTAGGAGGCAGAGGCAGATGAGTCTCTGTGAGTTCAAGGTCAGCCTGGTAGACATAGAAAGTTCCAGATCAGCCAGAAATCTTTAGTGAGACCCTGTCTTAAAAAAAAAAAAAAAAAAAAA